CAGCTTGAAAAATGCCATTGGTTTCCTAAACCCAGTTCTTTGCACATTTCATTATATTTGACTGTCTTCTCGAGCTGCCCTTTCAAATTTTCTGTTCAACTCTTGTACCTCCTCACTTCTTCCATTTACTTTAGCATCTCTGTGTTGGAGAGCAAGTTTCAGAGTCTCTTCTGACATCCATTTTTGTCTTTTCCCTCTTTCTTATCTTTGTAATGACTCTTTGCTTTCTTCCTGTATGATATTCTTAATGTCACCCCACAACTTTTCTGGTCTTCAATCTTTAGTGTCTAATGTATCAAATCTGTTCTTCAGATAATGTCTAAATTCAAGGTCATATTTTGGCTCTCGTGGACTTGGTTTAATTTTCTTCAGCTTCAGCTTGAATTTGCATATGAGAAATTGATGATCTCTTCCACAGTCTGGCCCTAGTCTTATTTTGGCTGATGATATTGGAGCTTTTCCACCATCTCTTTCATCATATGTAGTCATTTTGATTTCAAAAACCCTATAAAGGGTCATTATGATTCAGAACCAACTCAGTGGTACTTAACAACAGCAGCAGTTTGTAAATACAAAATAATAGCATTAAGTACTTTAAAATTAGTTTATAAAAACTATTCAAATACTTTATATGAAGTTGAAATATGTTTTATATGCCTCTGAAAATATGTTGATGCAATGCAAAATATTTTCTCAAGAAAACAATCCATAATATAAATGTCATAATAGTTTTAGAAACTGTTGCTAATATGTGATATTATGATGAAGTATTTTTTGCCCTTATGAGTGGTCCTACAATCTCCTTTTTTTCCCCTTCTTTTTCTTCCTTGAAAAATTATTCCTTGAAAATTATTCATTCATTTGTTATTTGAAAAGAATTTATTTAACATACCACTAGAAATGGACTGAATGCTGGATTGTGAAATGCATATTAACAATATATCCATAATATAGGGTTATAATCCCAGTAGAAATACTAACTGAGTGAATAGATTTAAAGATATTTTGCAGAAATGATCTAGACTTGGTGACCAACTACATATATATGGCAACTGAGAGGTTATATTCAACTATGATTCAAAATTTGATTCCAAATTTATTAACAAGAAAAACTAGAGAAAAAAGAAAAAAATAGTAATACATGTTTTAGACACTGATATACTTAAAATGCCTTTGGAAAGTTTAGGTGGAGGCATTTATTAGTGATGTAACCGTTTGGTACATTTTTCAATTTCTGAATGAATTATCAAAATTTGTTGTTGTTAGGTACCATCAAGTCAGTACCAAGTCATAGAAACCCTATGAACAACAGAATAAACACTTCCCAGTCCCACACCGACTTCACAATCCTTGCTACAATCCACACTCATTGCTGCTGCCACTGTGTCAGTCCATCTTGTTGGGG